ATCAAAAACCTTCTGTGAAAGGTACACGTACTGTATACAAGATGCTCCATACTTTCTCTATGGAAATTTACATGTAATGGTATTCTGGAAATGTTCTTGAAAATGTGTACAAAACTCAGTACATGTACAAAGTAAATAATTATTTCATTAAATATTTCCAATAAAATACCTACAGTTTTATTCATGTAAATATAGTGTATTAGTAATTAAAATTGTGTTTGTTTCCCTTTTAAATAAAATCAATTTCTCCTGAGACCAGACACAACCTTGTTTCTTCTAGTGCCAGCTATCCCGCCTTAACATCTGTGTTTTTCTGGATCTTAGTTTGACTCAAACTATCGTGACGTCTTTTTCCATTACTATAGCGGAAAAAACAAGATAAACAAGTTTGTGCATTTCTACTTTGTCAAGATATTAGTTAAATGACCTACTTAAAAATAAATAAATAATAGAATGGCTCCTTTTCCAAATCCTTTATCACCATAACTACTTTTAAGATGCTTAAACATTTGTCTCTTGAGAGCATTTTACAATTATAGTGTTGAAGCAGAGTGTTTTGTATATTATTATAGGTCTTAATTAAAGGTATTCTCGTCACCTAGGCAACAATACTGATATAGTGCATCTTTGGCAAATGTTTTCGTTGAGTTTTCTTTTCAATGTGCATTCATAAGAAAATAATATTGCACGTTTATAGATATGGAAGGCTGTAGTTATGGGAGGGGCTTGATTTCCCTTCCTAGACTGCTCCCCATTATCGTTCAGTCTGGCGATTTGCATACTGTGACTTCCGGTCTGTGCAAATCATCATTTTACTTACCTTCAACTCATGGGAACGCTTACCTGGTCCTGCAGACCCTGGTCGTCCGTTTCGCTGTCTACCAACTCTCAAGAGCCTCTACAGGACTCCCATACCTGCACCAGTCACTTCGTTGACTGAATCGTAAAAAACATGAGTCGAGCCGCCTGTCGCGCCTCAGTCGCGGGCGCTCAGCGTCATCCTGGGTTGGCTCTACGCTTCACTCTCTTTTTGCATACATCTGTTCGTTTTTCAGTTTTCTCGCTATGTGAACGATTAAGCTATAGTACGGTCTTTCGGCTATTTCCAGCCTGTTAGTATCCCACTTAAGTTGTTTTTCTCAAACTATTATTTCGTGCAGTTTTCGTTAATTTTGGAACGTTCGGTTATTTATGAAAGTTAGCCCACCACAAGGGTCGTTCGTATATTTACAACCGAACACCCTATTGTACTTCACTGTTTCAGTTACTGTATGTTTTAAATGTTGGCCTCTAGTGCTCAGTTTTGATATTGCACAGGAGTTTAATTGAAGTCGGGTAATTACTGCATGTTTAATGACGACCTCTAGTGGTCAATTTTGATATTGCATGGGCTATATTTGAAGTTTGATATTTTAAAGTGATTAATTCAGGTCAAACAAGCGATTGCTTGTTAATTATTTTTTTCCCACCTTATCAGTATATTCTGACGTTACGCATGTTTCTCTTCGCAGGGGACCCAAGTGTTTTTCAGTTTAATTGCCAGTTCCTTTTGTTCAAACCATAGGGAGGTTATCTACCTACTAACTTAAGTTACATTAAGGCCATGGATCTTCCGGACACAACTCTAAAGTTTTGCTCTCCAGAAGCAAATAGGCGGCTTTATAAGTGTATATATTATATTCATATCATAGCGATCAGATGCGGTAAAACATGCATTATATTTGTTTCAGATCCACAGAGCGCTCTATTACTGCTACTATTCACAATTCACCGTGTGTTTGGTTAAGTGGTTACAGTTATTCCGGCCCACATTTGGCCCTGATTAGTTTGTCTAGTCCTTAATGTTTATTTTCTACACGTAATCTTATGGAATGTTTATAAATTCTTTGTTCTGTTAATCCTGAGTGTTAAATATCGGCCTATATTGGTCAGTGTCCATATTGCACATGTCGATATTTTAAGTTAGTCTTTATGTTTTGTTGAAGATATTATTTAATTTAGGCAAAGCAAATGCATTGCATGTTCATCGTTTTTCATGCTTTGTCAGTAGATGCTGACTATACACTGGTTCGCTTAAATAACCACTATTTGATTTTCCCCCAACTAAGCCTCTAAATGCTCACCCAGTGATTTGCTATACTCATGTCACTAAGGCTTGATTGATTAACCTATGTCCAACATCAACACTGTATAACCTGCACCAATGCTACTACTTTTCCAGACCATTTCTAACTTGTAACTACGATTTCTTGTGTTGGTTTCTATATTCAAGGGAGACTGGGTCTTTGACACTTAACTGGGGATTAGATGTTATCACTGGTTCTGTATGGCAAATTACCTTAATTAAAGCCTTGGTGTATAATTATTTAACTAAGTTTAGGATCTTTATCCTAATTCACCAGTTATGGTTGCTTCCTTCACTGCTTGCTTCAATTCTACTCAAGTGTATAGTGTACTCTCTTGACTATATTACCATGTTTTGTGTCCCTTAACAGCACTGCTGTTTTATCTTAAGTTTGTTGTTCTACTCTCGAGGATGTCCCGGGCAGGGCCATGCACATACTTCTCACATAATTCATTATATCTTTAGGTTCATTATTAGGACTGCTGCTTTCACTTGTATCCATTTCTTTTTCAATATGGGTCATGGGTTAGATGATATTCGTATCAAGGGCATTACTGATAACATGGTTATTACAGGTTACGGAGTACTCAGCATTTAAGGGCAATATTGCTCATCATACCCCTTATACTACATTTATTAGGTAGGTTTTATAGATTATTCGGTTGGATCCATGAGCTGGCCTTACATCTCACTCATGTACATCACATCATCATATCTTTAGGTGCTAGGTATCTACGATTTACTGCACAACCTCCTACTTATGGTTGTACGTTACTTCGCTGCGTATCCTGTTAAGCAGACCAGGATATCTACTTGTACATAACATACCACAATTCCTACAATATTTCGTTACCCCGGTGAGTCTGCGCCAATCCACCTTCTGTGTCATACCAGGTTTCTCACTGCTCATTCTCAGATGTGTTAAATTACACGTACTTATTCGATACCTTCCCATGCCTCCCTTAGTTAGTTTCATTACTGGCTGACAGGGCACCAGGAGTCCAATAGCTTATACTTTCTCAGGCCTCTATGCCTTATGTTAGTGGTCCCGTGAGGCCAACACCCATCCTCATACTCAGAGGTTGTACGTCCAAATCATAGTTAGTCACCTCGCATGGTGGCATAGAGAGGGCCTCACCTGTCACTCCCATTCTATCTTATGCTTTAAAAGTCACAGAGAGGCTGACATCCCGCCACAACATTCGGTGGTCACAAAATCCCCTCACGCCAACGCATAGATAGAGCCTCTCAAGCTGCACCCATCACCTACCTTGTGAAATGGTTTTGCCACTTGGCATAGCTAGTAAGCCAGTATATTGTAAGGGTATACACAACTACTTCATGCTGTTTAACATATCTCGACGACAGGAAGGTGGAGAGTCCTGTCCCTGCCCAGCACTCCTTCTAGGCCTGATACAACGTCACATAGGGGACATGGCTAGTCCTACTTCTATTAGATCTTGGACTATACCTCGCATCACAGCAGAACTTTTGAATGGCACATAAGGTACCAGCAACTGCTATATACACCAAATTATCAAATCACATATCTATCTATTTATCTATATATATATATATATATATATAGAGAGAGAGAGAGAGAGAGAGAGAGAGAGAGAGAGATACACCGCAAAACAGGCTTTTAGAAGGGAGGCAACTGCTTAGTATTAGAACTGTGTCTAGTATTGGAAACCACCCTGTTGTATAATTATATTGAGCAGATTTATTTAACTTGGACGTAAATCTGTGCAGCCGGTAAATTAAATCTGTTTAAAGTTATGTGGCTGGTACTATTAGGTATTGGTAAGTTCCTTCTGTTACAATAATACTTTATTAGAATATCACGTGATGAACTATATTAGGTACACAACGAAGTTTGGTTATCAGTAACATGTATAGACCTATCATTGCAAATACCAGTCAGGTAGAGACTAAGGTAGAGAGATTAAAAATAGGTTGCCTATGAATTTGGGTTTCAGGTATTCAACATACATTTCATTCACGTTCCTATCAATTCAAGACTAGAGTTGAGCAAACCCGAACTGAAAAGTTCGGGTTCGTACCGAACATTAGGTTTTTTGGATCCCGGACCCGAACACGGACATATCACAGTATGTTGGAGTTCGGCGATTTAATGACGCATTTTGAAAGTCCGCAGGGCAGCGTTTGACTCGTGTGCCCTTAGAAGCGATCACAGCCATGCCTACTAATGGCATGGCTGTGATTGGCCAGTGCAGCAAGTGACCCAGCCTCTATAGAAGTCATTAGTAAATTATGCCCCTACTCGCTATACCGCTAGTAGGGGTGTGTTTATTAAACAGTGAGCAGCCCATGAAATTAAATAAAAAAATTCCCCCCTCCTGAGCCCCCACCCACGACGCGCGACTGGGAGCTTTTAAACTAAAAAGGGGTGGGCCCTAAATAACAATAAGGGGAGGACCTATTGTCCTCCCCACCAGCCACCACCCCTGAGCGGTGGGTGGGGCCATAAATATAAATTGGGGGGGAACCTAATGTCCTCCCCTCCGGCCCCCACCCCTGCCATGCCATGTTACATGAGGCTGTTGCGCATGTGTGACATAATGCTATGCTGCACCACTCAGCATTTCCTGAGAGATGCATTGAATCAATGCATCTCTATGGGGAGCGTTCAGCATCTGCGTACGGAGCATGGAGATGCTGAACATAGACACATTGGAAGCACCTCTAGATGTATTACGAGGTACCAATGATTTCTCTGAAAAGCCTGCAGGAACATGTTATAGATCCTTTAAGGTATGCTTATTGGAAATACATGTCACTAGATTTTACATCTCATCTTATATAATCTTTTTTAGTCACTAGCAAGTAGAAATAAACTGGATAGCTAAGATAGAGTCCACAAAGAAGAGTCATTATGTCTTACCTGGTGATGGAGTGATGAGCATTTCCATCAGTTAGGGTCAGCAAGACCTTTATAAAAATGATCAGCAATACCTACCAATCAATTCTTTGTGTAGATTTTAGGTCCCCTGTGGACAATACTATTAAGAGATTTAAAGTTAATGGAGAAGAGATATTTTGGTTTTCTATGTCTGCAGGTTGAGAGATGTGATGTTGATGCACACGGGATTGTTATGATGTGTTTTTGCCTCTGTTACATATGATACCCATAGTTTGGGTTATGGATCTATATTATGATTGCAGATATTAAAGTGGCACTGTCAGCAACATGGCTAATATAACACTCTTGCTAATCAATGGCATTCAGGCTGGATGGAACGGACATTGATAATGTAAAGTCTAAGTTCTTCATTATGTATGCCGTGGTGGATGTGTTGGTCTCAGTGACCCATTTAAAGAATTTTTATATTCCAATAATATATTCAAGGGTTGGGGGAGGACATTAGGTTCCCCCTATTTTTTATTCATGGCCCCCACCCACCGCTCAGGGTGGGGCAGGACAGTAGGTTCCCCCCCTTATTGTTATTTAGAGCCCCCACCCGCCGCGCAGGTGTGGGGGACAGGTGGAGGACATTATTTCCCCCCCCTTATTGTTATTTAGGGCCCCCACCCGCTGCGCAGCGGTGGGGGCTGGGGTGGAGGACATTTAGTCCCCCCCAATTTTTATTTATGGCCCCCACCCACTGCTCAGGGTTGGGGACAGGGGGGAGGACAGTAGGTTCCCCCCCCCTTATTGTTATTTAGAGCCCCCACCCGCCACGCAGGGGTGGGGGCCAGGGGGAGGACATTATGTCCCCCCCCCCCCTTATTGTTCCGCTGTGCAGGGTGGGGGTGGAGGACATTAGGTCCCCCCAATTTTTATTTCAAATCATTAGACATATCCAAGAGCCAAAAGGCAGTTAACTGCTCTGGCAAAGAAATACCTATTACAATAAGCAAGTTAATCTGGAATGCTGGTAATTATAAATCTCTACTGGGAATATATGCAAGGAAGACTAGCTGCTAATCTTGAAATATACCCAAAGGAAAGGAATTCAAATAGACACAAGATCTTTAAGAAATTGGCAGCTAGTCAGTATGAAAGAATGTTTTATGCGCCCGCCGCACTACCTTGACAAAGCCAGAGAACAGCATTGATGCGAGAGCTGCTTTTATCTTTGGAGCAACGAGGATACAGGGACATCCAGCTCAAACGTCTCAAGACGGAGATCACTTATCCTTGGATCCGGATAACAGATCTGCTCCGAGCAAACTGAGCGGTAACACAGACTTACCGCTGTATACTCATGCTTTTTATATGGATCTTTGAGAAAAGTACCACTATAATTTGATGTAAGAGTTCCAATTGGGGAAGGGGGGGTACCTTTGTTTTAAATACAGTGTTGCACTATATTGCCCTTTTGTATCTTCTAAGGGAAAGTGGATCCATCCTTGACTTAATCCAGATACAAGCTACCCTGGACTTTGAGATTTGAAATACTGTTGGTTAAATGGACACTATAGGTCACCCAGACCACTTCAGCTCAATGAAGTGGTTTGGGTGCCAGGTCCTCCAGGTTTTAACCCCCTCAGATGTTAACATAGCAGTTTTCGAGAAACTGTTTACATTGCAGGGTTAATCCAGCCTCTAGTTGTGGTCTTCCTGACAGCCGCTAGAGGTGCTTCTGCAAATCGCATTCAGCGTGCAGAACGCCCATGGGAAAGAATTGAGAAATGCTTTCCTGTGGACTGTTTAAATGCATGCGCGGACGTCGGCGGGGGAGGAGAGGACACCAGTGTCATGGAAGCCCAGCGCTGGATTAAAGTAAGTAGCTGAATGGGGACCCTGAGGGTTGGGGGACCTAAAGGTTATATATAGTGTTAGAAAAAACTACAGTGATGCTTTAACCTGCCCTTATAACATCCCAGAATTCTATACCGGAATACTTGCTAAATGTACACATGACCATTTGCCTTTATATTTATTAATAGTGGCTACCCCTGAGCAAAATTTATTCTAGGATTGTATCTACTAAGCGCTTGCACTTATTTCTAGATTTTCAAATCCACATACCTTTGCCCTAAAATAAAAATAATAAAAAGTTTCTCAAACCCTAAAAAAATTTATGATCTACAAATCTACCTCACTGTGCATTCATGACTATCAGTTGCTGATCCTTTATCCATTCTGTCAGAGTTCGTTTTTAATAAAATGACAGTAATACTTTACTACATAATTAAATCCAACAGACCACATACTTTTAAAAAATTTTATGAAAACATTACAAAACAAAAATGTCTTCCAACACAACATGGTCTAAAATAAAATGATGTTTGTTAATGCAAGGTGGAGGCAGATGACAATAAAAAGATGGGATAAAACAAACATTTTAAATAAGTGACAATATTTTGTCTGAAAAGAACAAAAAAATAAAAAATAAATAAAAACTATTATTGCAACTTTAGGGGAGAAAGACTTAAAAGCCAAAAATATATTACATGTAAATGAAAAGGTCTTCCATTATTTAATCTACTGAATAAATTATATGGCACAGCCTTGATTCTGCCACATGGTGGAACAAGTTACTATATATGACTGGTGTTCTAGGGGACATTTACAATGTGCAGGAAGTTATGAACAACTATATCACAGCAGTGTGATATCAAAGCAATGCACATATGGCTTGGTCAAGTATAGTTCAGACTTTACATTTTTTTCAGAAAAGTTTATCCGGGCAAAATTACTATATTTAAGCAATGGCAGAGAAAAAATAAAAAAATAAAATAAAACCAAATATAATACCTTGCCCAAAAGAAAGTTAGAATATAGATGGACCCACAGTGTAGCTGTAACATGTTAACGTCGATATCACATCGGATCCACTTGCTAATAAGCAAAGTGTTGGGTGTTGAGAACTGGTTAGCAATATTGTAAGACGGACTAAATTGGACAACCCCATTATATTCTGCTCTTTTGGTCTATTCCCCCCCATCCCCCCCTTCATCTTTTAACAAAAAAAATAAATAAAAAAATATTCAGTACACTCTTGGTGAGTAGATCCCTTGGTACATGGTTTGTAACAAAGAATATCAGATACTGTATATACAGATATTATAAATGAAATGATGCTTAGATCATCAGCTTCACTTACATACAGTACAACTCTGTCATGCAAACCCAGACTGAATTCAATTCAGTCAGGGTTTCTTAATATCCTGAATTCCCACTTGTTCCGCCATGCAGGCATCCTTTCTATCTAGCATAAATAGCTCCGATCTTACAGAACTGAATAGTGCATTCCTATGCAGGAGGCCACAGTACACAGATAAAACATGACAGTTTGAGAATCTCCACTGAATTGACTTCACAGTATGTTCCAATTTTTTTTTCTCTCCTTTAAATACAATATTTATCCTCTACTAACCCTGTAGGCTTGGCAGTGTGATATAGCTTTGGATTAGCTAAGAATACAGAATCATAAACGCTGCTTCAGGAGTAAACATGTTTATCATCAAAATGCGTCATTTTCTCAGTGGTTTGACATGGGTGTTACCCTTGTGTTTATGGGTAAAGAAATCTATATAATAAAAATTAAAAAAAAATACTGAAATAAAAGTACACTGTATGTGGTCAATACATGTTAAGATCACATCAATGAATTCTAGATTTAGTGATCTTTTGTCCAAAGGAACTATATTGCCATTGTGATCATGAGAAAACACCAGCACACATCGTTTTGAATAATTCCTTCGATAATGAGGAATTCACAGTTAAAAATTGAAGATTAGCAAAATTATATTGCTACTAGCTAAATAGTTTGAATCTTCTGGTGGTGAAAATTGCTCTCCTTGTTGCATCTCTGGCCAGCCCTACCACAGTTCAGTTTGCTCATTTCTTCCCGAAAACACAACACGCTTAAGGAGTGGTCCTGGGCAATTCGTGCTTGATCCCCGTTCCAGTTTCCTGGCCACAGCTTCAGAGTCTACCTTGCAAGGTTCTTCGGTTCGCTGCTTGGAATGCACCAGTCGTCTGCCTCTGTGCAGAGCTTATAGTGTTTCCAAGCAGACTTGTTGAAAACTGGCAATCTTTCTATAGATTCTGAAGACATCGCCTGCAAGGTAAAAGGAGAGAAAATGTTAGAAACTGCCACTTTATACCGATTGCCAGAATGTGTAAAGAATAAAAAAAAAAAAAGGAGGTTTTTTTTATTTAAGTATAGAATAACAGAGTCATGAACATAGAAATGATGTTAATGCACTAAAAATATGGGATGGCGGAGTTTAGAGACCATCTTTTAAAATTATTCCAGCACTCAAATTACAGACGTATTTTTCATGACAACTTTTAATCAAAGCTTCAATGGCAGGTATGGGACTTGCCGGGAACTTGGGACAGTTGGGAGAGGGGGTTCATATTTAGACACCACCCCCAAAGTGTTAAAGCAAGTCATAGAAGAATTAAAAATATATATGTTTTTTTCCCAAGCTGGTGGATTGTGTTAATAGCCAACCTGTCAAATGAAAGACATGTTTATGTTCAAGGTCTGATAGATGAGCTCCTGTAAAGAAAATGTACAGTAATGCGATGCTCAGGAGAGCACGTATGAACTACCATTTGTGTAGCCTCTGGCATGTGTTTTCACATTCTACAAATTCCAAAACTATGTGAAACATTAAGTGACAAACCAAAAATCAGACTGCTGGCAAGCAATGTTTTAATAAATATTATTAAAAAAAATTAAATAAAATTAAGGTACCTTTAAGTAAATAACAGCATCTGTTCCATAGCCTTCCATAGAATGCAGCACTAAGTCTCCTTGGAAGTATTTAGCATATAGTCTGGAGATGGGCAAACCATACCCAAAGCCGGCCTAAAAATAAGATAATGATGTTAACATATACAAAGTTTGGTTTTATGTTAATGAAGAAAAATAATAAAAGTTAAAGGCACACTGTAGGCACCCTGACCACTTCAGCACATCTAAGTGGTCTGGGTGCTGTGTCTCTATTGCACTTAGTACTGCAATGTTTATATTGCAACTCTAAGTCTGCCCTTAGTGGCTGTCTACCAGATAGCCACTGGGGGCACTTCCAGAATTGAAAAAGACCTTTGGTCCGTTATCTGACACTGGACTTCCTCATGCTCTGCAGGAGGGCCTCCAGCAGCAGATTTTTTCCCCATGGGAAAGCATTGAATAATGCATGCATGCGCATTAGGCCTCCTCCGCTGACTGATGGCGGGGAAGGGGCCTGACCCAGCGCCAAGGGATATGGGCGCTGGATTCAAGGTGGTTTTAACCCCTTCTGCCCCATGACTGAAGGGGGTACCTTTTAATCCTATAGTGCCAGGAAAACAGCTTTGTTTCCCTGGCAACATAGGATCCCTTTAACAGACCAAATCTACCTTTACATTATCCTGATAATTCTTTTTCCCCTTTGTGACTAAAAATTTATTAAGTGCCCTGCCTCACAGGGGTTAAGAGTACCATATGATGGTGAGATGAAAGAGTCTAGTAACAGAGACCTTAAGAGGACAACAGTCACCAGAATTTTATTTATATTTAAATTCTAAGAATCATTGAAAACATGGAATTACTTTTTTTTTAATATATATATATATATTTTTTTAAATAAAGTAAATAAAATATCTGAAAGTCTGGCCCCTACTTTCACAGAATACTAAACCCCTCTGCCATATTCATACATTTCCGGTCAGACTGCAGTAGAATCCGACAGTTAGGCTCCTGCTACACTCCCTGAACAGAGCCAGTAACGTCAGTCATTCCCATGTGTCCGAATTCCAACCACATTGGCAATTCTATTTACTAAAGCCAAATGTCAGTCGGTTGACCTAATTCTGTAACATTAGTTTTGAAAAACAGGGATTTCCTCAAACCAATCTACAGTGCTGGTATCGCAAATGTTCACTTGCTATTTGCAAGTGAACGATGGTTTGAAGAACTATTTGCCCTCTGAGAGGCTAGAGGGGTAGGGGGAAGTGTTAAAAATGCTTGGAGGCGCAATGGTTTACTATGTACTGGCTTATGTATTCTATTTATTAGGCCCCCTAACCCATGTCATAGGTGTGGCAGGGAAGGGCACACTAGCCAAGGATTTTTAAACTATTTGTTTGCTGGCTGCTAGCGCTGTCCGTGGGCAAATGGTTCTTCAAATTTAGCATTCAATTGCAAATAGCAAGTGAATAATAATTTGTGATTCAGGTCCTGTAGATTGGTATGGAGGAGTTTGGAAAATCTGTGTTTTTTTTTGTTTGTTTTTTTTAAATACTAAACAGGCTCATAATATGGGGGAGAAGACAAAAACACACAACAGACATCACATTCTTACCAGTGGAGCATTACGAGAATTGTCCATCATTGGTCTGGGTGCAGTGGAATACATGTAGCTAAAGAGGCGTTCTATTTTCCGTAAAGGGACACCCCCTCCATTATCAGATAACTACAAAACAAAAAAAAGTAGGAGTTATAATGTTTTGTTACGGTATCTACATGCAGCATTGCCAAATAGCAAAAGTGCAAGTTGTCTTCAACTCTAGTCCAGAAAACAAGTTAAACAAAACAAAAAACACAATGATGAATAAATCTAGGAAATAAAGGAACAAATAAAGACTTTACATTTTAGGATTAACGATCTAACTCTGCACAGTTAACTACAGATCTTGATGCGGGGACAACCCTTCATTCATAGTCTGAATGGAGCCTGAACGTTCACCTATGTCATTTGCTAAATCTTAAATAAAAAAATAAAAAAAATAAAAAAAGTTCTAATGATTTGTATTGTATTGTATTGTTCTAGTCAGTAATGCAAATTCCAGAAGTGACAGCCTCGCTTTAATTCTATAGCCATCATACAAATCTATAATCATTTATAAAGTAGCCTCCTAAATGCATTGAATTTTACTTGTCATTCACACGCACCCCAATTGCTCCAGACTGTAATGGCTGTTTGTATAAAGTTAGTTATATGGAATGGTTTTGGTATCCAATGCATTATAATAACGGAAGAAAGATCACCAATATTTTCATTGTTTGAGAATTCCACTCCCAGAAAATCATATGGATTCATCTTCGCTATAATTCTGTGTTTAATGCCCCATTTTCATTGTTTTGCCTAATCATCTGTTCTTTAGTAATTGTAAACTTTTACTCCGCAAAAATGTCTCTATCAAATTCCTTGAAAAACATTTACTAGAACTGTGAGCAATGCACCCATAAAGTTAATGATGAGTGCCATCTTGTTAAGATGTATTTATATATAAAACCAATCTCACTAATGTGAAGCACTGCATGTGCATTGCAAGTCTCTTACTTAAAATGATTTGGCACACAAAGTAAGATGAAAGCAGATTGGCAGGCTGCTGAGAAGCCATGCTTTTATTTTTAAACTTGCACTTCGCCCTGCAAATTACAGTTGTCTGCCGATACTCTGATAGTTCTGTTTAACTGCCTTGATAAGCACAAGTTAAGTTTCCACAAACACAGAGACGGAGGCGAGCAGATGTGTTTGGAGAGCACAAGGGTTTAAATCTTCCAGACCGTTACCTTAATTGTTAGGTCTTCTTTTCCTAGAACAACATTCACTTTAACTGGTGGCAGGGAAGGGCTATCCTCGTGGTACTCAACTGTTGCCCGCATGGCATTCTACAAAGAACAAGCAGCAAATATTAGCACCAGTTTAAGAGTACAGAATTATGGGGTGGGGTTTATAAATTTTTTTTCCCCAACACAAGAATATTTATAAACATCACCAAAATAAATTATATATTACAAAATCCAATTACTACAATATTCAGTTGGCTTTCAACAAATATAAAGATTAAAAAAAGTAAAAGAAAGTTCAGTTTGTTCCAGCATGCCTTTTATCAGAAAGCCAAAATTAACAATTTAAACATTTAATTCTAAATTTTGCTTTTATGCTACCAATGGGATGATACTGGATATGTAACTGCTTTAGATGTTTTAGAGATCACTTCAGCTTGTGACATTGGTGCAGCCACAACAGACTTGATAACAAGACAACAAAACTCAGCGGTAGTTCTTATTTAAAGTGTACCAATCACGCTAATTAGCATGATGTTACATGAAAGCAGTTACGCAAGTCTCTTTTCAGCTATGTATGTAACTATGTAAATTTCCAATATAAAAACCACACAAAAAAATACAAATGTTAAAAAAAAAAAAAAAACACATTTTTTTTTTGGCGAAACATTGGTACACCAAAATGTTTGGTTGGATCATTATAGAAGAAAATAAGATTTATTAGTAGTGTTACAATAACTAATGTAAATTATATTTCATATAGGTAATCGACATACCTTAAAGAGTTCAAACAGCATATGGTACAAGTGGGAAGGAACGTAGACTATATTTATGGGCTGTCCAGGTGCCTTTACTGTAATTAAAGAGAAAAAAAAGTTATGTAAGTTTATGAACTGAATTCACAGCATACAAAGGAAGAGTGGGAGAAGGGTGGAGGAAGATTTTACTTTTATTAAATATTTGTATCTACAAATTAGGCAGGTAGATCATTTGACTTACCATTTGTCTGCTTTATTTCTAGTTCAGGACATGCTAAATAATACTGATCACAAAGCATCTTCGAGTTTTCAAACGCATCTGAAATGTGAACAGTTATAATGAAAAAAAACTAAATAAAAGTTACCAAGTTCTATTTCACCATTTAGGGAATAAACCAAGCTGAATTAACCAGGCAGTACTGTATGTGTATGCTGTTTTGGCACCCACTCACCCAGTGAAGGTTTTAAATGTATAACACTTCAGATATGCAGAACAGAAGACTCAATTACTGACAGACGTTAATGCAAAAGGTCAGACAAATGCCAATGTTCGCCTACTCAGTACAGTAACAAAATAAAAATAGCACCACCTTCTAAATTTAAGCAAAAGGCAGACAGCATCCCAAAGGGACAAAGACAAAGAGTGACTAGCACAGAAAAGACAAGTTGTGATCTCTCTGATTTCCATTATCTGTAGATCTTTATCTAGTGACATTTATACCAGAAACTCGCAACTAGAAGCTCCCAAGAGGGCGCGCACACACACACCCACCAAAATCAGACACTTACCATGTACAACTTCAACCACATCACAGTTTGGATCAATGCTTCCAATGTGTTTAGGATGAGCTGGATTTGTTCCACCATCAAATAGAAGTGCTAGAATGAAGGTGAACTATATCATTAAAAATTCAACATTTAATAACAAATACATTTTAATTAATAATAAAAAAAAATAAAAAAAAACAAGTTATGGTGGGGGGGGGGGGGAAATGGTGAAAACCCCTTACAGCTTTAGTCTGGGGATAGTTAATACAATGTTAAACAAAAATCTGCACACCAGTCAACCCATAAGGCTTGCGTTTTCCACAGATATCACAAATCTGCAGTGATGTTAGAAACATCACTGTAGATTTGTGATTTCTGTGGGAAAAGCAAGCCATATTGCTTGCCAATTCTAGGGCAAACACTTCCACAAAGTACAAGATGTAAATAGTAAGCTAAGAAAAATAAATAGGACAGTACCCCAAAGGTTTACAATAGATTACCACAGGGGCAGCAACCACTTTGCTATTTCACAATATTTAAGGTTTGTACAAACCCCCCCCTTTACAACTGTATATGCAATTCCACACTGAACTGTGAAAAGTTTAAATTAATGCTAAAATTCAGAATAGTTCAAGCTTGTTGTTAATACTTTTTTTAAACTAATGAGAGTCAATTTAAAGCGGTTATAAAATCTTCACAAGGAAGTTCACTTTCAACTGTTTCTAGGCCATTCGATGCATCAAAACCTTCTACAATTAAAGCAAACTATTGATCAGGCAAGATGAACATGCCAGTGGTTTGTCTACAAATAGTAGAACATTTTCCATTCCATGAAGGGTTTAATGATCTGCCAAATAAAATAATCCAATTCTTACTGTGCTGGTTAATAAGCATCCTGATGGAAATACGGCTCATGTAGAAGCGATCGAGGAAGTACTGGACATTTTGATTGGTGACAGGATCCACCCCAAACGCCTCCTTGTATTCTATCACACCCTGTGCCATTGTAGGGACCACATTATTATGTCTATTTCGAATGGTCACAAGTGTTTCTGTGAAACTGGGGAGGAAAACAATGAACAAATAGATTACAGAAAATTCTGTATTACACTCATAAATCCATGCAAAAATATGGTGATTGGCTATGTATCAGAGTTGTATGGCAACAGTTATAGAAATAGTTTAATCAAAATTAAAGGCCAAAATAGGAAACGTCAATCTATTTAGTTGGAGGTTTTCCCCAATTTAATATTTGTCTTGCAAGTCATTACTTGGTATACAAGTCCCTATATAGTTGCCAACAGCCATATTATTACACTTAAGCTTGGACATAATACGCTTGCCATCTCCATTACATAAGTTTCCTGGCAAAGAGGAAAGCACCGGGAAAATTATGTAAAATCTCCTGTTATGACTTCGATTACAAATGGCTCATTCTACCTTGTGTGACTGAGGAAATGCCTGCAAACCACTCCCCAAACAAACTGGCTCAATTAAGACAGGATTGCCAAACATGTTGGATAAGCAAGCATTGTGTGCAAGCGGAATTGGTGGAAGTCATGCGGGTGAATTAGACTCAATTGAAAATAAGAAAACAGTGAAATCACTCTGTGTGTTTACATTTCAGCATCAAGCTGCTGCAGTAAACCTTTACTTTTTTTAAATATTAAAAATTCAACATTTAATAACATACATTTTAAATTAATTTAAAAAATAAAATAAAAATATAGTTAACAAAACGAAGTAGTGCTTACTCAGACAAAACTCGTTGGTCCTCGGGATTTTTTTCAACAAATTCTATTAGTTCCATCAAACTCTGTATGTACCTAAAGAGGAGGGGGGGGGGGTAATAAACAAATACAAAGCTTGGTTAACAGATGGAAAAATCGAAAAAAACCAAAGAACATTCTGAAATGACAACTTCTAGAACGTCAAGCATTCAGCATACCTTCTACAGATATCAATGACAACTGCTTAGACTAAAGGTGCCCCAAAAGGTACATAACCAGAGGTTTTAGAACTAACCCCCAGGATGCTTTGCGTGCCTTTAGAATGACAAAGCATCATAGAAGCTGTAGTTTTAGAACATCTGGGGATCTACATTTTGGGCACACCTGGCTTACACATAGGAAGTACACTGATCAATGGCTTTAAAATGATTAACAGTGCTGTACGTTGGTGCATGAATGAGCATTCAGTTCCATGGACAAGCACTGCACGTTTGCTACAGAGTGCAACCCAGGTATCCAAATAAATGTTCTGTATATCGGGAGCTTAAATAGAAAACATGTAAGAGTAACGGGGAATATAAATATACTTTGTATCAGCATGCTTTACATTGTGAGAGCCGCTAAAAATCATGTATACTACTGCTAAATTCATTGTTCAGGATGAACACCCAATATCCCTTAATTTGGACATTTAACTATTTTCTTGTCACAAAGCCCTAGATTGATATTGTAGCTGCAGTGTAAAGATATGAATTATATGGATATACATGTATATGGTTGGAATATGGTTATATGGAACATTGAGGACAGATACTGGTTTGTTGCAATTTTCCCTGTTATTGCCCTTCTCTCCAACCCCAAAATTAGGATAAGAATTAACCAAGAGTCTGAATTCATTAGCAGTCATTATAACTTACTCTTGTACAAAAGAGGCATGATTTACCATTCAATATAGACTTCAAAAAAATTACAGTAGGTATTTATGCAGACAGTCACCCCCAATACGTTATTAGTTTTGTAACCAGTTTGCATTAGCAACATTTCATTAATGCAGTTACTGTAAATCCTTTCATGTCAAGCACAACTTTTGCCTGAGTTTAGCACTTTAAGTTATTTGGTTAAACGGACACCATAATCACCAAAACAACTTTAGCTTAATGAAGCAGTTTTGGTGTATAGATTATGCCCTTGCAGTCTCACTGCTCAACTCTCTGCTATTCAGGAGTTAAATTACTTACCATAATTACTAACCATAGTTACACCTCCCTGCATGATACTTGCACAGCCTTCCTAAACACCTTCTTAAAGAAAGAGTCATCTAATGTTTGCACAGTCTGTGAAATGTAGGATTTATAACCTGCACAGTTAATAGCTTGCAAGACCTTGCAGGAGCCTCCTGTCTGTGATTAAAAGGTCAATTTAAAGAGCATGAGATAAAAATTTCTAAAGAAAGTTAGCACCAGATTGAAAAACATGTTTTAATGCAGACTGTCAGTCACAGCCACGGGAGGTGTGGCTAGGGTTGCATAAACAGCAACAAAATTGAAACTCCTAAAAGGCAGAGAATTGAGCAGTAAAACCTTAGAGACATGATCTTGACACAAAATCTGCTTCATTAAACTAAAGTTTTGTGAGGACTATAGTGTCCCTTTAAGGTGGATTACTTCTGATAGTTACCAGCTTTGCACAAGTTGTACTGAGGGGGTGTGCAGCAATGGGTCTGGAAGGATGTAGATTTCTCTCATTATATTTGCCAGTCTCACAGGTAGTTCTTGGCGCAGAAACGCAAATGATGTTTTTTCACATCCATTAGCAGAGCCTATATAAAAGTAAAAAAAAAAAAAAATAAAGAAGTTAAAACACTTTTTTTTTAAATAGATTTAACTAAATAAAAGTAGAGTGCTGGGGGTTTTGCCAAGACTGCTGAGCACTCCTGGGTCATCTTTGGCTGCCAGAACATAACCCCAGTCACAATCAGGTAGACCCGAATTTGCTGAATGTTGTTATGAGAGCTACAGGAAGTCCGCCAAAACTTCTGCACCTGATTAATTGTGTTTTAAAAGTTCATTACCCTGAGACACAAAGAAAATCCCCCAAAAAATGTTTGCAGTCATGTTGAATCAAGGTATACTCTTTGACCAAAGAGAATAATTGATTATGCGGGGTGTGTTACATTAGCAAAGCATTCTTGTAGAAAGGCAAAAAAGTAGAATGGTTTGCAGAAAATAAAATAGGAATTGACAGTTATAGGTAGAATGTGTTATGGAGCAACAAGTCCAAATATATTTTAGATGCCTGCTTGGAAGAAAAGCAGACACATCACTGGATTTTCTCCAACACTAAAAGTATACTTTTATTGTTGCCTGTTAGAGTGGCCTTATCTTCAAACTTGTACCTTTAGTAAGGTTTGCTGCAAATTAAGGGAAGTCATATAACAACTAAAAGTTGTTGTTTTTTTTAGCTCTTTAGTGACCAATCACAAGCTTTGCAATTGGTCTTTAAGGACTGTATTCCAAAATGGAATGTTCCATAAAAATATTAAAGCTAGCCAGACATAACATGCTGGCATTAGAACTTTAGGAACCAGCTTGTAATATCAGGAAGAAAAAAATGCAACTGGTCCATTCAAGGTTATTAATACTAAAGGGTTACAAAAGAATTTTATTCACTAAAAACCAAATTGGCAAAAAAAAAAAAAAAAAAGTGCAAACTTTAGTAAATGAGCCCGATAAGAGTTATACTCCCAAACTTACTCAGTCTAATACAGATGCAACTGCACCCTCAAGCAACATAGAACATGTCATTAGAATGGGCTTAATCTGTGGATGTTGGCACTAGTATAAACGGAAGATTTTTGATTTCTTCATAAGGTGATCCTCCCAATCAGTGATCGATGAGTAATGTATAATAATGCTTGCAATGCGTTTAAACTATATAGTTACAAGCTGGTCCAAAATCTTTGTTATTGTTGCATAGTAAACAGTACCAACAACTTTTTTTTTTTCCCTGACTGATATTATCATGCTGCAGTTATCGAATTTGTGTATGGGGCGTATCCACTGAAAACCAATAGGGAAAGACTGTATTGGTGGGTGGGGGACCTTTGACTTACAGGTTCATGTATTCACGAAAAACATATCTCACTCACTGGGTCCCTGAACTGTGAAATAAGTTAACATTACAGGTCAGTCTCTGCACTATTGAACCATGAATAGTTGCGTAAACTCAGATTCCTGGACATGTTTACTGGTAGGAAACATCATTTAAAGTTCATTACATAATGCACTTTGTATCAGATGGCACCTTTCTTCTAATGTTCTGATCATTTGAGCAAGTTCACCAACATTAAAATTCAAAGAGTTAATAAAAATGAACACTACAGCCACCATAACCACAACAGCTTGATTGCTCTCCGCCAATAAGTCAAGTGTTTTGAGCTATCAGAGGTTTCTGCTAAGGAACCTTTGGGTCTGACGTTTGCAGTGGCGGCAGCGTAATGCGCATAGTAGAGCCAGGTAAGAAATCAATGTGTTCAAAAATGGTAGTATGCATTTCATGTCTATATGCTCTATATCAGGAGCCCTCTGTGAGGCTTTACTCAGATATTTTAAAAAGTCAGTCGGAGCCCTAATGGTCAGGGAAGGCAAATATGCATCCGGGGCAAGAAATTGCTCATAATTAGTTAACTGAAGCATCACCTGATGAATTTAAAAATATTTCTACAGAGTTGAGGGGTTAATGCCCATCATTACTGCAATATAAATAAAGTTCTGGCTTGCCTGGTGCCAATCCAAACGCATTTTTTGGCAGCTGCCCTTTCACATACCAGAGGTCAAACCAGGAGAACACTGGTGACGTTATGAAAATGACTGCAACGTAAACGAACGAATACTATTAAAGGGAGTTGAAACCTCACCTTAAAGGGACTTTTAACAAGGTTACTCACTAAAGTGTCAATGGTTAGGAAAAAAAAAAAAATCTGAGTAAATTTCAAGTATTAGTCTAAAAGAGCTGTACTGAAAATATAGCAGCCCAGGAGAATACTCCTCATTCCACTATTTAGGACTAGAGTTTTAAACCCCGTAAGGACATGATGGAAATATTCAGTCAGGATTCCCTTTTATTTCTGTAATTGTGTCCTTAAGGGGTTAATTCACTTTGTATTCTTGTATTAAAAAAAAAAATAAAATAAAAAAAAATTTTTATACAATAATACCCAAAAAATAAAAATAAACGAATGAAAAAAAACCACACAAAAGTCTTCCGTAGCTAAAAATACTGGTCTTTTCCTGTAAGGCTTGGCAGAGGACAAAGTTAGGAATTGCAACAGCTGCTAGAGCCACATCTGTTTTGCAGAAAAATTTGTTCCCTAGAAAACTTGCAAAAATATTACAGAGGTTTAGAAATATTCAAACATTAGAGCACAATATACAAATGTAAAAACAATTTCTAAGAATGAGTCTGGGGTCAAAGTGCACAAGGTTGAATGTCATAAATTTACCATTGCAGATACACTCCCTATAAACCCAATATTTACCTAACTGGCCTCATACAGAAGCACTTTAACCTATAAAATACATAGGAGAATATAAAGTAAATTGAGACTTGTCAAGATTTCAACAAGAATTTCACATTTTAGTCCAAGTCACACTGCCAGTTCAGCTACTTTGTTCTGAAAGCAAGTTATTTAACATATACCCTTTTGGCCTTTTAAGTTAACTACTTGGTAAACAATCCCCTGAGGATTTGCAGAGTACACATTCTTACAGCAATATACCAGTGGCAATAGGGTGCACTTTGGCCATCTTATGGCAATCATGTGGCTTCATATCTGAGAACTCATTCATTATGTTGCAAGCATTTAAAGTGGCTGACTTTCCAAACCATTTGCCAGTATTTTTAACCCATGTATAATTTCCTGTTCCACATAGGAACTAAGTGGTAACATTTCCATTTGGCCTCATTCGATATTATTCGACAGTAATAAAGTTGGAAATAGTGGAATATTGACAGAATTACTGGCACAGCAAAAAAAAAAAAAAAACACTTTTAAAGAGACAGTAAGAAAAATCTGACATGGCAAGAAATCAATTGAACATGAAACATACTAAAATACAGTATAAAATAATTATTTTTCTAGCTCAAAGAGTTTTTCTTTTGTTTTAATATAATGTTGATGTGCCAAGGGTCGGCTTAGGTAGCTACTTATGGGTAACAAAATGTAAACATACAAAACACTTACTAAATAAATGAGTCTAGATGGGTGTTCAGTTAGGCATTGTGAACCAACTAAAATAGAGCCCGTAACAAATGTTGGATATGAATGGAAAATGTCTTAAATTTAAAGAATTTTGTCAATATTCACTTGGATGCTAGATCTCATTTAATAAACATCAAGGTAAAACTACAGATTTGGATTGGCTGCCATTTTTACATGAGCTCTGCATATGACTGCAAATGCCAATAAAGGATTGTAAAATGTCATGCAATGCCAACATGACCAACTCCACACTGAAAAACAACTCTGATGTTAGGTGATCCTGATACAGGTTTACAGAAATAAAAACATCAGTATTAACTGTACCTGAAGACAAACATCTTACCAAAGTCAATAAACTGCTTCATAGATAGAGGTGAAGGAGAAAACCTGCTGAATCTCTCGATCTGCTTGGGTGCATTGGCCAAGGCAGCATTTTTAAGCAGAAACCGGGCGAACTTCATCTTAGCACGGAGAAAGGAAGTCTTTCCTGTTCAAAATAAGCAATAACATGTTTGTTAAAGGATAAGAAATATACACCCCGCCCTCTGTGTAACATTCTGGGAAAACACAATGTGAAGTCCCCATAACTAATATTGTAAAGAATATATGCAACTGCAGAGTGGATCACAGGGTTCACAACAGGTATTAACCAGTCACCAACTACAGTGCTGCTGTGGACAACCATTAAATCAGAATACAAAACAAATAAGAAATATCACACACACACAAAATGGATTTTTGCTTTAGCAGACTGCATGGAAACAGTATTTTCTTGCCTACTGGAGCAGTTTAAGTGCCAAGTCAAACAATCAAGAGAGCAGGGAGATGACTAACACATGCTGAATGAAATCAGCATAAAAAAAAAAACCCACATGTATTTATTTTTTAAATAAAGTATTTTGTACCATCCCATTAATATATTAATATTGGGTTATGTACATATCCTGCACCATATGACAATGCCCTCTGTAGGACTGCAGAGCAATGTTCCAATGTCATTTACATGATGAGCATCTTGACCCAGCACAGCAGACACAACGTATTCACAGAAGAATCAACATTCTAAATACAATAGGCAGTATATCAGCATAATAATGATGGCTCCCAGTAAGACACATTCTGTATTTTAGGAGGTCAGTGGAATTGCATGGTCACAGCTGGATACTAGGACTCTCTCTGCAAAACCTAGTGCAAGCTGGGTGCTCTATATATAAGGGCTCTCTCAATATAAACAATCCAAACCTGAGAGTCTCTCTATAAACAGCTGGATGGTCTCTCTCTAACCATTAAACAGCGCTACGGAATTTACTGGCACTATATAAATAATAATAAAAAAAATATATAATAAAAAAGACTTGATGGTCTTTATGTATAAATAACTGCCCAGCAGGATGGCCTATACATATTTATTTTTTACACACACACACACACACTCTCTCTCTCTCTCGCTCTCTTATAAACAGCAGGATGGTCTCTCTCTCTCTCTCTATAGAGCAGGATGGTCTCTTTCTCTATACTATAAACAGCAGGATGGTCTCAATATTCACATGATTCCAGATGGATTCTCTGTAAATGCAGGGTCTGAGCAGGACTCACCTCTTGCCCAGTGATGCAGTCAATGTCAGGCTGTGGATGGAGCTCTGTTCTCCCAGCCTGTGGATGGAGCTCTGTTCTCCCAGGCTGTGGATGGAGCTCTGTTCTCCCAGGCTGTGGATGGAGCTCTGTTCTCCCAGGCTGTGTATGGAGCTCTGTCAGGCTGTGGATGGAGCTCTGTTTGAATGGACCAGCTGATGTGAGATTCCAGCTCCCAGTGCTGCTGGCTGTGGCTATGATGCTACCCCCCTGCTTCCTACAGTGAGCGGCTTGCCCTGTGTGTCTCTATATGTAGCCCGCGGCACCGGCCTCTCTCTGCTCCTTCTCTCATCTGTTTACCCCAATCCTTGCACTCTCTCTCTTATTCCAGCCATCCGGGGGGCGGGCCAGGAAACCGAGGCCCCGCCCATCACTGCAGGAAGGCGGAGACACAAAACTTCTCCGAGAGAAGGAATAAACAGCGCGAGGAGGTGGGCGGGGCCTGCGGGATGTTGCCAGGCATGTTATTGGCGGCTCCCCCGCCGATTGGGTCATTCGTTAACCCATTGGTGGCTGCATGCGGCGGCAGCCAAACCTGTCCCAGCCAGTTCTGAGTAGCGTGTTTACCTCAGCATTGTCACATACACAGGGATCCTATAGCCCCATCCCCCAGCCCAGCCATGGGGAGGGAATGCATGGGGGCATTGCAGTAGTTATGGTTGTTAGTCTGTATTCTGACACTAATAAAGGATTCACCCCCTCCCCCCCAATAGGAGTTAATGTCTCTACTGCTTTACTTGGTACTTGGCAAGACTGTATTAAAGTTTGCAGGTGGTTAATACAGCCCTTATAAAATAAATAAAAAGGGTTATTCATTTCCATAAAATGTTTAGGGGCTGTAGACACTTATTATTATTATTACGGTATTATTATTATGGTATTACTGTATTATTATTATTATTATTACGGTATTATTATTATGGTATTACTGTATTATTATTATTATTACGGTATTATTATTATTATTACTGTATTATTATTATTACGGTATTATTATTACTGTATTATTATTACTGTATAATTATTATTATTACGGTATTATTATTATTATTATTATGGTATTATTATTATTACGGTATTACTGTATTATTATTATTACGGTATTGTTATTATTATTATTATTACTGTATTATTATTACTGTATAATTATTATTATTACGGTATTATTATTATTATTATGGTATTATTATTATTACGGTATTACTGTATTATTATTATTACGGTATTGTTATTATTATTACTGTATTACATTATTATTACGGTATTATTATTACGGCATTATTATTACTGTATTATTATTATTACGGTATTATTATTATTATTACGGTATTATTATTATTATGGTATTATTACTGTATTATCATTATTATGGTATTATTATTATTACGGTATTATTATTATTAATATTGGTATTTATATGCAGCCCTGTAAAAAAATATTATAAAAAGGAGGAGATCTAACAGTAAATGAGACGATTATAAAATGTTACAGGAACAATAGGTTGATGAGGACCATGCTTGAACGAGCTTACATCTATTATAACTTCACTAGATATCGCTCACACCTCTATAAAAAAAAAAAAAACACACAAAAAAATACTGTTTCAGGACCAAAATAAGGGACCCAAAGGGAGAAGTACAAATTTATAGAAAAAAAAAAGTAAAAACTGATTTGAAAAAATATGGGCGTGGGGTTGTATGTTTGTGGGGATGCTGCTTGAGGGGTTGTGAGTAGTGATGTACAGAACGGTTCGCCGAACGGTTCGCCACAAACAGTTCGCCACGGACTCATCATTGAGTAAACTTTGACCCTGTACCTAACAGTCAGCAGACACATTCCAGCCAATCAGCAGCAGACCCTCCCTCCCAGACCCTCCCACCTCCTGGAGAGCTCACTAAGAATGAAGCTTCACAATGAATGTAAAATGGATGCTGTCCAGGAGGTGGGAGGGTCTGGGAGGGAGGGTCTGCTGCTGATTGGCTGGAATGTGTCTGCTGACTGTGAGGTACAGGGTCAAAGTTTACTCAATGATAAGTCCGTGGCGAACCGTTCGCGAACCGTTCGGGACATCACTAGTTGTGAGTTTAACTACTAAAGCGGACTGTCGCATGGCGGCGGAGCTCCTGACCTTTACCTCAATAAACTGCCACTCTCAACTCTTGGACACAAGCTACTTCCACCCCAGGGTGACCGCGAGACTCACCAGGGCCCCATGGGTCAGAAAAAGAAAAAAACAGAAGGCGGATAAGCACAGGCTTGGCGTGAATATAGGGGAGCTCTGGCGGCAGGCCCACGACGACGCCAGCGCCAAGATGGCGTCCCTCCACGGAGGCTGTTCGGATATCTCTGATGGGTCATCCAACAAAGCAGAAGGGAACATGACACCGGCCCCGACGTTGCCACTGCCAACCCGGACACAGCCCCGGCCTCCAGTGACAACTCCCACACCGGTGACCATGGAGGCCATTGGAGAGCTCGTGGCGGATCACCATGGAAGAATCTCAGCTAGGAGGGAGGATCTGAAAAGCATATCAGCTCGGCTTGGGGCAGTGGAGGACACCTCCAGCAACCACACAAACCAGATAACAGAGCTACAGTCAGCAGTCCAAAAACTGCAACAACAAAATCTGCTCCGTGAACAGCAACTGTCCACACTGGAGGACAAATGCCGCAAAAATCACCTGAAAGTCAGAGAAAGAAGTCACACTTTACCAGGCTGTTCCTTACCACATTACTGAACCCAAAGGCAGCCAGAGCGATTACATTAGACGGAATCTGCTGGAAACCACGACCAGCCAAAGCACCACCCAACGCTCCCGGGGACGTAGTGATCCGGTTTCAAAACCTGAAAGACAAAGCTGCAGTCTTGGAAGCCACCAGAGGTCAGCCAACATACTCCTTTGAAGAGATGGCCCTGTCATTCTACTCTGACCTCTTGAGCGGGACACTAGCATGGAGAAGGTCCCTGCGACAATTCACAACACTTCTGCGACTACACCAACTCAAATACCGCAGGGGACCAGGCTGCACCTTACACATCACCAAAGGAGACACCTCACAGGTCATACACGATTTGCAAGAGGCCATGAGGGCTCTAGGCAAGCTAGACCTCCCCCTGAACTCTCGTAATCCATCGCAGAAATCAACGGGGCCCAAATGCTCCTTCGGAAGAGACACAGCCAGCACCCCAGAGTTCGTGCCACGATGTCCTCCCGCGGGACCCTATGCAGCAGCCACGACTTGAACCAGGACTATACTCCACAGAATATCCACCGGGATGTTCCCCCTGGCATATATAATCACTAGTGATGTCCCGAACGGTTCGCCGAATGGTTCCCCGCGGATGGCGAACATATGCGCTGTTCGGTCTGCCCCCTATGTCATCATTGAGTAAACTTTGACCCTGTACCTCACAGTCAGCAGACACATTCCAGCCAATCAGCAGCAGACCCTCCCTCCCAGACCCTCCCACCTCCTGGACAGCATCCATTTACATTCATTGTGAAGCTGCATTCTTAGTGAGCTGTCCAGGAGGTGGGAGGGTCTGGGAGGGAGGGTCTGCTGCTGATTGGCTGGAATGTGTCTGCTGACTGTGAGGTACAGGGTCAAAGTTTACTCAATGATGATGAATAGGGGGCGAACCGTTCGGGACATCACTAATAATCACCCTTCAGATTACTGATTGAACGTTGTGACTTTATTTTTTTTTTTTGAATTTGACAATTTTTATTGTACAATGCATCGAGATACAGTCATGACATTTAATGTACATCATATGCAGATTACACGATTCCACACGTCATTGGTAGGTGTTACAGACATTATGAATTCGTTTTTATTCTCCCCTATCCCTCTGAGGGTTCAGGACTGTAGGTGGTCGTGCAAGGGTGTGTCGTGCATATCTGTGCAAGGTTATCTTCGGCCACCAGTGGCCGGATGCTCTGTACGCCTCATTGTCAAGCATCGTACTTTTCGGGGAGACGAGTAGGTAGGATAGAGGGTGGATGTGGAGTGGGGATGGGGGGGGGAGAACTTGAGGGGGGGGGGGGTAAGAGACTAGTTGCGTGGTTTATGTCGGTTCTGTTTGTAATCCTTCTGATCGTAGAAAGTCATTCCACCTGTTATGTGCTAAAGTCATTTGTTTCTTTTCTCCAAATTGTCGTGCATATACCATCTCGTAGGCCCAGTTCAGTTTTATTTGGTTTATGAGAGCCTCTCGTGATGGGATTGTCGTTTGTTTCCATAGCCTAGCAATGCATGTGACTGCGGAGATAAGGATGTGGTATATGGCTGCCCACTTATCTTTAGTAAGTGAGTCTGGTGGTATGAATAGTATGCACAGTTCCAGTGTTAGTGAGATTTGTGTTTGTATGGTGGCATTTATGATTATTTGTACCTCCTGCCAACAGTGGCGTACACATGACCCATGGGGCCCCGGTGCGAAAATTGATCGCGAGCCGGGCCACAACACATGGTGGTGGGCACCTGGTCGCAGGGGTTACAGGGTTGCGACCCCTGCGACCGCGGTATGTACGCCAGTGCATGCAGATGCACACACACTTAAAGGACCACTACAGACACCCAGATCACATCAGCTCAATGAAGTTGTCTGGGTGTCAGGTCCTTCTAGTTTTAACCCTGCAGCTGAAAACATAGCAGTTTCAGAGAAACTGCTATGTTTCACTGAGGGTTAATCCAGCCTCTAGTGGCTGTCTCACTGACAGCCGCTAGAGCAGCACACTGAACGTCCATAGGAAAGCATTGAGTAATGCTTTCCTATGGGCGGGTTTGAATGCGTGCGCGGTCGCATTCGGAGCTGAGAGGCTGAGGGATCCCCAGCGCCAAGGGAGTCCGGCGCTGGAGAAAGGTAAGTGCTGAAGACACACACACACACACACTTACAAACGCATACACACTAGCTAACAGAGACACACTCAGCGACAGACATACATACACACTCACTTACAAAACATACACTCTCATTGACAAACACGCACACACTAACAGACATCAAAGACTCACTGACACTCACTAGCAGACACACATACTAACACTCACACACACTAACACTCACTAGCAGACACACATACTAACACTCACACACTAACACTCACTAGCAGACACACACACTAACACTCACTCTAACACTCACTCTAACACACACACTAACACTCACTAGCAGACACACACACTAACACTCACTAGCAGACACTCACTCTAACACTCACTCTAACACTCACACACACACACATGTATTTTTTTTTTTTTTTATTTAATCCCCCCAGCCTCCTTACCTTTTGGAGTGCTGGGGGGATTCCCTGGGGTCCAGTGGTGCTGCTGACCCCAGCTGGCGGGTGGCCGGTCGGCAGGCGGGCGCGC